ATTCACCATTATTCATAAACGACCTCGAAGATTTCATCAAACTGTTTTCAAAATTACTGTTCAATGTGTGTGAAATAAATATTGTACAACAAATAAATACTGTACAACAATATTTATCTTTGGAAGCGAAAGCAATAAGATTTCCGGGAATCGGATCGGGTCATTTGTACTCTTGCAAAATCTTCTCCTCTCTCATTGTGTGTGCACTCTTGCAAGGTTAATTCAAAAGTTCAATAGACAATAATTCAATAGACAGCAATTACAGTCCGGCTACAGTTAAATTTAACGGATAAAAAGTTGATGAAATAATCCATTTTGGATGAATACAGTATCGTATAAATTAGCTAACCTAAAATCCAGCTTTTGGGACTTCACTCACCTTGCAACTAGCATACACCCCTGGGTCCTCACACGGCCGATGACTCGTCCCCAAAAGAGACCTAGTCATTAAATACTTAAAGGCCTTGTTTCTGGGGTTTCGAATCTGACCAAATTGCACCTATTCAATTGCACTGTGCACCTAGATTAGAAAGCGGAGTGGAAATCAATACCAAGCATCAAGTATATCACCCCGCCGCTTCGTAACGCTTTTGATTTCCTAATGAAAAACACACCAGGTTTGTTTGATGCTACCAATGGTTTCTATAGCCTATATTAAGTGTTCCAAACAACCGCAAATACCGAGGACCCAACGCTTCTGGTTTATAATTGAACTTTTTGATAAGCTTACCTCGAAGTGACAGCTGATTGAGGTATCTTATACGTGGCGGCGGGTACGATAGTTAGCCAAAAATAAAATTTTATTTTTATTCGAAATCATCAATAAGTAAGTGGAGTAAGTTGGTGGAAAGCATCATTGGCAAAATATGTTACTGGACGATTTTTGTAATAAAATTGATTTGCAAGAGTGGATACTATAGGCCCACTTCACTTACGGTAACGGTCTGTCGACAGTTGATGCCAATTGTCTCTATGATGAGTAGAATGCTGATGCTGGAGACGAATCAAGGTTTCTCCTGTTAGATTATAAAAAGGCGTTCGACCTGGTACCATTATGTCCCGTTAGACTAACTGCGCAGGATGAATGTTAGCGAAATACTAATTAAATGCCCTTCCCAGGCCCGTATCCGGGGGTGGGGGGTTATGGTTCGGGAGAACCCCATTTTCTAGCAAACCCCCTCTTTTATGGCGAACCCCTCTTCAAATTTCCTAATAAATCCTCCAACTCCACTAATGCACTGCAGACCCACCGAGACACAGACGTTTTCAAACATATCTGCTTTTATAGCATTACTTCGTATTCTAGGGCCTATCTAAGCCTCCTACATATTTAGGTATATGTCTGGTTTAATATAAGGACATAATATTCATAGTTACAAACCTCAGAGACTTGAAATGCGTGAGCGACCACCAATGTGGGTGGCATGCAGCACTAGGACTGTCTCTTATACACATCTAGATGTGTATAAGAGACAGATCATTTTCTTTTCTCAGCCCCACAAGGGCAACAGCATAATGTGTGTCTGAATCGACTGTAGGACATTTATTATATCCAGTGGCGGAATAAAGAGTGAGGGTTGGGGAGGTTGCCGGCCCGGGGCCCCACTAAATTTTTCAAAATATTTTTTAACTGGAAATAAAAAAAATATTCGTAATATTTCTATGTCTTTGAAGTGCCATTTCCGGCCATCTAAAGGTGCCATATTCATAAATTTTCTTACCTCAGCCCCAACCATGGTGGGTCTGCTGTCTCTTATACACATCTAGATGTGTATAAGAGACAGCTTTACTTACGGTAACGGTCTGTCGACAGTTGATTCTCTTTGCCTCTATGATGTGTAGAATGCTGATGCTGAAGACGAATCAAGGGTTCTCCTGTTAGATTATAAAAAGGCGTTCGACCTGGTACCATTATGTCCTGTTAGACTAACTGCGCAGGATGAATGTTAGCGAAATACTAATTAAATGCCCTTCCCAGAAACGTATCCGGGGGTGGGGGGTTATATTCGGGAGAACCCCCTTTTCTAGCAAACCCCCCACTTTTATGGCGAACCCCTCTTCAAATTTACTAATAAGTCCTCCAACCCCACTAATGCACTGGAGACCCACCCAGACACAGACGTTTTCAAACATACCTGCTTTTATAGCATTACTGTATTTAGAACCATAAAGCACAAAAATCCTCTTGCTTTGGGAGTTTTGCCGACCCCACCAGCCATATATTTACGTGAAATAAATAATGCATGCGCAGTAGATGTGAGTGACCTAACGCCTATGCGCTCTCATTCGGCGGTCCGCAGGGCCTCGAATTATAGGGGCCCCAAAGGGGCCCTACTCATAGGTTCCTCGATCTAGCACCCTGACCAAAAAGGACTTTGTAATAAATAACACCATAATGTGTCTTTGAAATGGACTGTTGGGCATATATCATATAACGATTAAAGAGAGGGGGGGGGGCCGTCGGCCCAATGGGGCCCTCCTTTCGGCCCGGGACGCCACCAAATTTGTCAACAAAAACAATTAAAAATGGAGGTCACAAAAAGAAAATTATATACACAATTTTAAGTCTGTATGTGAGTGCCATTTCCGGCCATCTAAACGTGCCATCATTTTCTTTTCTCAGCCCCACAAGGGCAACAGCATAATGTGTGTCTGAATCGACTGTAGGACATTTATTATATCCAGTGGCGGAATAAAGAGTGAGGGTTGGGGAGGTTGCCGGCCCGGGGCCCCACTAAATTTTTCAAAATATTTTTTAACTGGAAATAAAAGAAATATTCATAATATTTTTATGTCTTTGAAGTGCCATTTCCGTCCATCTAAAGGTGCCATATTCATAAATGTTCTTACCTCAGCCCCAACCATGGTGGGTCTGAGGTGGTATATGCCTGAAAGGAATTGCCCCATCCTACCTATGTAACAAATTCATTTTTAATCAAAATAGCCACTCTCAGTGCACTAGGAATAAATCTAACAACCCCTTGATGGAGATAAAATGGAAACTCACTCAAGGCAAGAGAACATTCTTATACCGTGCAACTAAGGCTTGGAACGAACTACCAAACCAAATTAAAATAGAATTAAATGATCTCCAACTTAAAAATTTCAAAACTTTGATCAAAACAGAAAACTAAATCTTTCTGACCACCCTCTGTTCTCTTGCCTTCTTTTTAATTCATTTGAATTGGTTCTTTTTATTTTAGTTAAGTTTCTGTATATTTTTTTTATGTTTGTTTTTGTTCTAGTTTTTGTTCATGTGATCCACTAGTGAGATCAGTGCTGCGTCACTGAAAGTGTTATCACGTTAAAGGCAGAATAAAATAAATAAAAAAATGTGTCTTTGAAATCGACTGTTGGGCATATATCATATAACGATTAAAGAGAGGGGGCCCGTCGGCCCAATGGGCCTCCCTTTCGGCCCGGGACCCCACCAAATTTGTCAACAAAAAAAATTAATAATGGAGGTAAAAAGAAAATTATATACACAATTTTTAGTCTGTATGTGAGTGCCATTTTCGGCCATCTAAACGTGCCATCATTTTCTTTTCTGAGCCCCACAAGGGCAACAGCATAATGTGTGTCTGAATCGACTGTAGGACATTTATTATATCCAGTGGCGGAATAAAGAGTGAGGGTTGGGGAGGTTGCCGGCCCGGGGCCCCACTAAATTTTTCAAAATATTTTTTAACTGGAAATAAAAAAAATATTCGTAATATTTCTATGTCTTTGAAGTGCCATTTCCGGCCATCTAAAGGTGCCATATTCATAAATTTTCTTACCTCAGCCCCAACCATGGTGGGTCTGAGGTGGTATAGACTCAACTGTTAAAATCCTTCCCTGGGCCTCAATTTTCTGGATCCATATTATATAATTTGTATTTGTCGTTAAAAACATTTAGAATAACAATGCACATCTAAAATGGTGACCGGGGCCAAAAAAGGGCCCCCAGTTTCAGAAATACACACTCACTCACTATCGGAGGGTTCGCTAAACAAGTATAAAAAAATCTCGCCGAAGGATAATTTACTTTTAATTACAAATGAGGCCTACACAGGGTACGAATAACAAGAATTTACGTGACTTTAAATTGAATTAATTTGTTGAAATTTAAACGAATTTAACTTTTAAAATTCGCTAAAGTTCTGTTAATTAACTGCTGAATACAACTGACTATTTCTAAATCTGGAAACTTATAGGCTGTGTACCTCAAGTCCGTTTCTCCACACGGGATTTAATACAGTAATTTAGAGGAAGGCTACAGAATTTAGTTCTCGCAAGAGGGCGGTTTTGTTTTGTTGGTTTTGTTTCGTTGGGTTCACACGTGTGTCTGATGACCGGGATGATGATTGTGTTTTGTGTTAGAGGTGTTGGATGATTATACCCTCGATTTATTAGTTTTATTTAAAGAACGTACCATCTGTCTAGTCTACTGGGATTTTTTTTTTTAGAAGATTTATAAGAGTACTAAATTGCAATAGCGCCCTATCCGTTCTGTAAAGTTTAGGTTAGGCCCTAGCCAGTAGTAGTAGTAAACAACTAAACTAGGGGCCTAGGCCTACCCTAGCTAAGGCCTCCTATCCTAACGTATTGGTAGGCCTAATAATAATAGACTAGGCCTAGCCTAGTAGTAGTATGCTAAGAAAGTAGCATTCGTATTCTAGGGCCTATCTAAGCCTCCTACATATTTAGGTATATGTCTGGTTTAATATAAGGACATAATATTCATAGTTACAAACCTCAGAGACTTGAAATGCGTGAGCGACCACCAATGTGGGTGGCATGCAGCACTAGGGCCCCCGCCATGGTCCAGCCGGGGCAGAGCTTGGGTGGGGGTCCAGATGTGGGACCGTCCCACACAATGCAAGATGGTTGGTAGCTATATAAGGAAGTGGAAATGTTTACGTGACCGTAAACAAATCAATAAGCCATGATTTACGTGAAATAAATAATGCATGCGCAGTCATACATTAATAAACATGCATTATTGTTGGTCATGTACATTTATCAATCCTGGTTGTATAAAATGTACAGTACGTTGATGCGAGTTCAACTTTCAGCACTCAAAATTAGTGCCACCACAGCTCTGATTTATTAATTTAATTATATTTTGTTTTTATTATTAAACATAATTTAATTTTAGACAACATTGTTATGATATAGTGTTTAGTTGGGTTGAGACTCAAGTGCCAATTGAGCATGAAGAACAACAACTCGTCCACTAATAATTTCCCACCAATTTATTAGACAACATTTTAATGATATAGGACAAGATAGAATTTCAAAAAAATGTTTGTACATGCATACTTGTTCCAGCGCACAGGAAGGAACTTAAAAAGATGTCTTGCAGTCAACATGTTAGTACATCAAACTGAATGCTGATCCATGAATAGGTGTTGTGAACAGCATTGTGATTAGGTTCAATGTTAAAAAATGACCTTTTAGTAACTTTGGATACAGTTCATAGAGATAGAACCTTTCTAATGGTTAAAAGTACAATGCGATATTTGTATGACATATTATTTCCTTTTATATTTATAATTGTAGGTGTTAATAAGAAAGAAAATAAGAATTTAATAAGGGCCTAGGCCTATTCATTCATCACCTAACAAGATGGTCTACTGTCAAAGAAGTTGGAAAGTCGCCAGAAAATTATCCAGCATCAACTTTGCTGCAGCTATTGGTAATCATGGCATTGTTTGTAAGCATTTTATAAACACAGGCAAGTTTACATACTCTCTGAAAATGTTACTGTATTTCAAATTAGCAGAACCATGAATATACTGAGTTACAGCTAAACAAACTGTGCTAATAAAAAAAAACATAGAAGTACAACAAGTTGTTTAAATTACACAAGCCCAGAAGTCCTACCGTAAGTTGTATCGACACAAAATTTATCTCAATTTCATTTGAAAAATCTAGTCATTTTCTTTGATTACTTGCATCACTGTTTTGTTCTCACATTGAGACAAGGTGGGCAGTAGTGGATCCATCTGGGCCTTTCAAACAATAAATTAATCTGTTAGAAACAACCATTTTTAGGGTGGCTTGCTGCAGGTGACAGAATGTTGAAACAGCATTCGGAAAGTCATTGGAGTGTTATTTGCACACCAGTACATCATTTTTTTGCCTGTGATGATGATGGAGAACGTGAGTGTGAGGATGATGATGACCATGACGATAGCAGCGACGGAGGTGATGATGTTAGGGATGATGGTGATGAAAGCAGCAACGGAGGTGATGATGATGAGGATGACGGCGATGAGAGCGTTGACAGAGGTGATGACGACGATGGCAATGACAAATCTGTGTGTGCGAATGTTGCAATAAGTTTTTAAATATTTTTCATTCATCTTTCCTTAACCTGAAGGTATTCTTGAGCTGAGTCAAGAAGTTCAAAAAGCACTGAAGTATGGTTCACCCTTGGTGGCACTAGAAAGTACCATCATCACACATGGGATGCCATACCCATTCAACCTCAGGTAAAATTTATCATCTAAATACTTCATTGGTTTTTAAAAATGAGAAGGTGACTACAAAAATATACTAATACTATACTGCTACTAAAATACTCTTAATTTTTCATTATATATTGATTTAATATTTTTTATTTAAAGTAAAGGTAGGAGAATAACCTATAACTCGCAGTGTCATTGTGCTGAATTGAGTATCAGCATGGTCCGTGACTACCTAGCGGCCGTAAAGAGGTGCTTAGTTCACATAGTTTCACAAAAAAGGGGGCTGAATTTAACCATAGCGTCGGGGTAACCTCCCTACTCTTCCTAAGTTGAAATGGGTTTTTTAAAGTACACACAAGCTAAATTTAAACACTGGACCCGTTTTGAAGCCCTTACATGAGAAAACTTGGTTCTACCAGTCGAGCCCTGGACGAGGAGTGGCACAAACCAGCACCAATGTTAAGGCTGTAGATAGTTGCCCCCCTGCCTTACCGCTTGGCTACTTGACTTGACCAAATCGGCAATTCAATTGTTTGAAATTGTACTACAAACTAGGCCTAGTAGATAAAACTTATGAGCGCCGTCACATCTTGAGCAAAGCCAGCCATCAGTAATCCTACTATTAGGCCTAAAAAAATAAATTGTTTGTTTGCCCTTTAATGCTGAAAATTGTATAGGAGGGGATGGGCATAAAAAAAACACCAAATTGAGACAACTTTTATGTGCAAAATGGAGAAAAATAAAGATCATTTTTTAAAATTTGTGAACAAAAAATTTTAAAAAAAAACTTTTTTTAAAAATGCAGCCCCTATTTTTTCCGTAAGCTAGGGGCGGGCGCTGGAGGGCAAACAAACAATTTTTTTTTAGGCCTTAGTCTGACGTCAGGATATGTTTTGCGTTCTTGCATCATGTATATTCTACGACCATTTTAGGTGCCCCACAAACACAGAAAATGATACCAACTTCATCATCTGCAACATTTTCCTTGTCATCTTGAATTTCTCAATTGAAAGCATGTACTTCTTCATCAAAATTGCTAAAATCGCTTAGATTTTCAAGTACTTTGCCAAGCAAAAAAAATCATCCTTACTGTACTTTGCCATATCGATATGACAGTTGATTGTTGTTTATCGATCGTCCACGCTTGCGCATTGGGCAGTGATGATGTTTCTGCGAAATGGCTTGTAGGTAATGATTACATAATACTGTCTGTTTCTTATTTTATTCTGAATTTTTTTTTAGTATGAGCGCGGTCAAAATGATGGATCAAAGACTTGTAATTTATAGTTCCTCCATTTATTTTAGACTTCCTTGGTATAAATAAAGAGCATAAAGTGTTGTAAAGGAATAAACTGTTTAATGGTGCTAGAGGAATCCACCGTCTTGGTTCAGTCCTTTGTTAATACAGACTAAGGTAATTATTTTTATTGTTATTCAAGATAATACATTAACATACAGTATTTTAACATTTTTAGAACTGCTCAGTCAGTGGAGCAGATTGTTCGTGATGGTGGAGGAGTTCCGGCTACCGTTGCAGTATTTGACGGTAAAATTCATGTTGGGTTGACTACTAACCAACTTGAAAGATTAGCAACTTGCAAGGATGCTCTCAAGACCTCCAGGAGAGACCTAGCGTGGTCTGTCAGCCAAGTAAGAGAAGTATTATTAATTACCTCTGCCAAGGAGGTAATGTAATCACCCCTGTCTATCTGTCATGCTGACTGTCTATCTGTCTATTTGCCTGTTAGCAAGATTACACAAAAACTAAGGATTCCATCATCTAGCTTAGCGCACACACAGTGGCTACCACCAGTTTAGCCGACTGAACTAACCTGCTGTAGTTGGATATAAAATATATTAATAATTATATAATTAGATAAATATATGAATGATTATACACAGTATTACTTTAATCATCTACCTTCTGTTTCTATGAATGTAGGGCAAAGTTGGTGGAACTACTGTAGCAGCAACTATGATCGCTGCGCACTTGGCTGGTATACGTATATTTGTAACAGGCGGTATTGGTGGCGTACATCGGGGCGGCCACAATAGTAAGTTTGATTTGTTATCTCAACTGATTATTCTTAAATCATTACATATTTTATATTATGAATGTATTTTTAATGTCTTCCATTCTTGTTTGTGCTCAATTTTTGATGTTTTAGTATTTCAACGTTTTTTTGTATTAGATGTTTTGATTTAGTGATGTACTTTTTATTGTGTTTATATTTGAATGTATTTTTATATATGCAAGTTTTTTTAATTTATCGAGCATTCAATTTCTTCATTTGGAAATAATAAAGTTATTCTGATTCTGATTCATATTCAGTGTATACTAATCTATATATTAATTTGTTCACATTAAACGTGCAATACAAAACATTTCATATTATACACTGGATTAAATTTATATACAACTAATAGATAAGATTACTTGAAATATAGATGTTGTACTTCTTAGTCAAACAATACATTAAATATAAATAATATATATATATCCTATATATAATTTATATTAACTAATAAATAACATTAATTTAAATGTAGATATACAGTAGTAATCACTAATAAGACTAGACTTGGCTCCAGTCCCTAATCTGTCTTTAAATCTATTTTGGCACCAATGGCATTCCATATTACCTATTTTCTTGGCGTTTCATAGTATACTTTATCTTGGATTCGCATAATTTGCATAAAAGTTTCTCGATATATACCGTCGCTGGTGGCGCTCTCCAAATACTAGGAAAACCTATAATTAGAGACTTGTGGCAAGTCTATAATAAGACTAACAAATTTCATTCTTAAAATCAATTTTATATAGCCGGAGTTATGTATTGACCGAGTCTACTATGGCTAATGACATGTATGAAGTATGCATTAAATAATTCTTCTACCAATGGAATTGCCTGTACAATGCACTAGCTGTTGTAGACCAAACCCAGTACCATTTCAATTTTAATTGTGCGGGAAGTTTACTCATGATAAATAATTCCAAAAGAAAACCCGAATGTTTGTCATATTTAAAATTAATGGATATTTGAAATTAATTTCATGATAATAATATAATAATAATAAAACATTTGTTATATGCTAATATCAAAATAAATGATCAAAGGCGCGAAAGTATACATAGAGCATGAATTGAATATAGTAATAAATAGAAACTTAAAAAGACTAGATGCATTGAAATAAATGAGTTTTTAAATGAATCCAAGGATGGCGAGTTTTTGACAGACAATGGTAAATAGTTCCATAGAAATAAGGCAGAAAAAGCAAAGGTTCGTTGGCCATATGTTTTCAGTTTTTAAGTCAGAAGACTCTTATTTGATGAGCGGAGATGGTGGTTGGGAACATTTAGAATTTCAGAGAGATAATAGGGTTGTTGGAATCGAAGAGCCTTAAAACACAAAATTATAAAATGAAAATGTGAAATATATATTTTAATTTGTCTGAAAGTGAAAGAAAGTATTATTGTTTAAATATATATACTGTAACCATGTTCACTATTGCAGGTATGGATATCAGCTCAGATCTGACAGAGCTTGGTAGAACACCCGTGGCAGTGGTTTGTGCTGGTGCAAAGTCTATATTAGACATTGGAAGAACTCTAGAATATTTAGTAAGTTTTCACTTTAACTAATTCCTCAGCATTAAGCCAAAAAAATTGTTTGTTTGCCCTCCTCCACCCAACCCTAACTCACTGAATAAAATAGGGGTGGAAAAACAAAGAAACTTGAAAAGTTTTTTTTTTAGATTTTTTCTTTACAAATTAAAAAAATGTGAGTGAATTTATCTTTATTTTTTGCCAGACGCCCTACAAATTAGTCTAAAGTTGTTGTCTGATGTAAGATATTAGCATTCTAAGCCTCTGTGGTTTATTTTTATTCCATCTTATGAGTATCTTAAAAAAAAAAATTTTTTTTTTAATTTTTCCCCCGCCCTTATTTATCATTTTTTTAAAAAGAAGGGTAAACAAACAATTTATTATTTTTGGCCTTATTAGCACCAACATTTTAATAATCATGTTATTTAACAGTAATGTTACAATTCTTTAATGTAATTACATAATTTGTCAGTTTAAAAACTTGGAAGAATTTCATCTAGTCTAACAATTGAAGTACCAATTACAATTAATTAATTTCTCAATTTTTAACTCATCTCCCCTTTAACTTGAAATTAGTAAGTACTTTACAGGATAGGCTTATTCACTGGGACCAGAAAACCCAATGAACAAAAGGGGACAAAAAAGACGCTTGCAAACCAGGTTTTGATGGAGCTACCATTTATTCATTCTTGACCTTGATTAAGAATTGAATATCTTTTTTTTTTCATAATTTTCACAATTTTATTTCACTCAAAACTCAAAAGTAAAGAGCTGGTAGGCAAAAAGGGAACATGTCCCTGTACAAGATGCCTACCAGAGAAACAATGATAATAGCAATAACATCAACAACAATAACAATAAATAAACAAAAACTAATACATTTTAAAACAAAATTAATAATAATGATAATAATAATAATATTGAAAATACTGTAATTGGCCTTTAGCTGTTGGATGGTGTTCGAAATAGAATAAAGTAAAATAAATTATGATTTGTGGGCATCAATATCCTACATAAAGAATAAGGGTAGCTAAAATGGAAGATTAAAGAATCAATATGTATCAGAAGAAATATTACTACAATGGATAGAGACAAAGGCACACATCACCTCTCATAGTGACACTTAAATGACCAACTATTAAAGACGGCTTGGGCTGCTTGCTACCATCGAGCATCTGCGGATACCGCAGATTCTGACAAAGCCTGACTGATAGTCAATAACAAAAACAGTAAGTAATATGTGGTTTAACACAATCAATTATTTATTGAATTATGATTTTTGTTTTTAATACTCTTTAATTTTCTGTTGATTTCTAGGAAACCCAGGGAGTAACAGTAGCAACATATGGGGATTCAAAGTATTTCCCAGCTTTCTTTGCACCAGCCAGCCCGTACTTGTCCCCTTGTAACATTTCAAATGCAACGGAAGCGGCTCAGGTTTTTGGTGAGTTTAATGATAATAGTGCCTCTTTTCAGAGCACATTTTTTTGTGCAATACATTTTAAATACAATAGAAAACTAAAGCGCCCTCTATATCTGCTCCTGATTATAGGAAATTTAAATAGTATATACTTTTAAATGGATTTATCAATTTGTTTTAAGTGTGTTTTGTTTAGGTTATCACAATATTTTTGACAAATGGTATATCTGTATCTGTAGTACTGTCTACGATTTTATCTAGTGGTTAATTTTCTTTATTTTCTAGCAACAAATGAATCACTTGAACTGAATAGTGGAGTTCTGATTGCAGTTCCAATCCCAGAATGCAATGCCAAGGACAGCATTCAGGTGGAGCATGCCATACAAGAAGCCATAGCTGAGGCAGAGTAAGAGCTAATAGCAGTTCTTCATTGTAATGTGTAAAGGCATGACCAGAAGACTATGATATTAAATTTTATTTGACCAAAACATGTGACTATATATGGGCATACAAGAGTGTTTTTTTTGTCAAATAAAATTTGTTAGTCTGAACAGAGCTCAATAATTCTGTCAAATAAGAATTGTTCTATTTAGTTATGCAGAAAGGGTTGGACGTGGTTTGTTGGATGCTGTCAAAAGGATGGATGAATCAGTGTGAAAGGCTGTGCTTCTGAAACTAAACATGATGAGAGGAGAGTATTTCTCTTCTTTACTGTCGGTAGGTCTGCACTTCTTCTCAGTTCAAATAATTCAGTGTTCACACACTATTTCCTTTTATCATGCTCACGTTCAGTGATTCATCCATTCTCTTATGTCATGATCCAGCAAACCTCCAAGGCATCCATCTAAAATGGCACCTCCACATTTGTTACGTTTAGTTTCAGTGAATATTAGAGCAACAGCCATCTAAAGATTAGCAATTTTAGGGCTAAATACCAGAGTTTCACACTCCTAACAGAGGCGATCTGAGAAGTTAGAAACAGGAGAGATATTAGCCTAAGCCAGTGTTAAATATAAATATTAGAAATAACAATAACAAATTCAGAAAATTGTATTTGTTTTTTGGTTTTTTTTATCTTACTCAAGTTATCAAGCAATGTTTATTGCACTTTTTGTTTATTTTTTTTTGGAAGACACAAGGTACAAGTTGGAAAGGATGTTACACCATACATCCTGAAAAGAGTCAATGAAATCACAGGAGGAAAGGCTCTTGAAGCTAGTATCCTTTAAACATATTGTGGAATAAGACACAGTACCTTTATAGGTTCATACTGATGTGATTGAACCTAAACATTCTGAATTATAAAAGCAGCACCTTAACCATCGTACCACACATTCACTCTGGATTTTTATCCTTAATGCTGTATCAAGATATTGCATTGGTGAAAAATAATGCCAAAGTAGGAACTGAAATATCTGTAGAATACAGCAAAATCCGTGCTCAAAAATCCTACAGAATTGGGTCAAAGGGCGGAAACAGTACTCAACACAGCTACAGAGGACGACAGAGTAGTAAAGTGGCCAGAAGACCAGTAGTGGTTGGTGCCAGTATATATGACTTGAATGTCATGACTTATGGAACTGATGTTATTGTAAGTGTTCAAATATTTTTCATCTGTTCTGTTCTTTATCTGTAATTTCATCAACAGAGTTCTATCCTGTCTTCCCTCAGTTGCTTTAAAAATATATCTGTGTCTGTGTTACCATATTTAGGCCAACATTTCAATTGCTTACTGTATTTAAGTAACTTGTTACCTTACAAAAAGAAATTAGAACATATTTTGCTTTCCAATTGAAATGATGCATTTACTGTATTTCTTTCATGAGATCTGAAATTAATTTAAATATTCTTGTGTTTATATTATTAAATTTGTTCCAGTATGGTGGTACCACTAATCCTGGTTCAATCCAACAGGGAGTTGGTGGTGTTGGCAGAAACATAGCGGGTGAGGAATTGATAAGAGTTCAATCCTAAATTGTATTACATTGTATTTAAAGACACAATCATGTACATGTGGTTCAGCAGTAATGCAGGGTTTCCAATCAAGAGCTTGTTGTCTAGTATTTCCAAAACTAGGTCACTTTATTAGCATTGCGTCTCTCCACCCAAGAGTTAATAAGTTGTAGGTAGGATAGTGAAAGTACATTAATACATAACAGCAATGCTTTAGAGACAGGGGTTGGTTGCCAGGTTTGCATATTATTACATATGAATCTAAATGACAAAGTAAAATGGATAAGACACTATTATTTATGTTCAATATACCTCAAGAATTTATTACCACTAACATGAACAACCATTGCTAGAAAATTACACTATACATTGCTAGAAGCATATACAGTATTGGCTATTAAAAAATTGATATAATATTTTTATTAACAATTGTAAAATTCTTTTTTTTTTTTTATGTTTGCAGATTGCTTGTCAAGACTCGATGTAGATCCATTATTTATATCTGTTGTAGGAGATGACATTGAAGGTCAAAGTTTGATGAGCCAATCAAACCATATGGTACTCTATATTGGTTTTAATTCTTCTATTTATTTCTCAGTAGGAATTCCTCCGTGTAAACTCAAAGCAAATGAGTTACAACCATGTTGAATGTTTTGTCAATGCTAAATATTCATGTGCATGACTAGAAATACTTGTCTGGCAGTTTAGGTTAACATTAATTTTCTGATAAGCAAATTTATTTACAAAAAAACTGGCAGTTTAGGTTAACATTTTGCACAGGGGGCCCAGAAAAATGTTTAACCCCCTTCCAACCTTTTGAACACTTGCTAAGAATAGAATTACTGAAGTAGTTAAAAAAGTATGATTGATACAATACTGAACCAGGGAAAAAGTTTAGCAACAGGGAGTTTTCGATTTGCATGATGGATGTAGGGTGTAGAACGTAATAACGTCACTGAGACATCATCTGCACATGCAAGAATGATAAGTTCTTGTTGCATAGATTCTAGTACGGGATTCAACCAAATGTTGTGCAGATGGTCACGCATGAAGTGAATCCATTGTAGCGTCTCGTCGTGCGAATTGGAAGCTCGCTAGTGTGGAATGCTTTGAGACGTGATGTTGGCTGTGTAAATGCCAAATATTTTATTAAAAGAAAATATGGAATCCTTGGGATTATATACTAAACAAGAGCAATAAATTTAATTTCAGGACACCAGTTGCATTACTGTGCTGATTGGTGAGAGGACGGCCTCATACTGTGCTGGGTTGAATGGCAGTGGTGATGTGTTCCTAGGAGTTGGTGATGCTAAGATTTGTGATCAAATAACACCTGAGCTAGTAAGCATGTAATATTAATGATAATGGATATGTATGTGTAATCCACATATACAGTAAATGACATTGATAGAATTACATTGCAGACAATTATGTTAGAACGATAAATAACCGCGTGCACAGTGGTAAGTTTTTGTCTTCTGCTGAATGTTCTAGATTTAATCTGACGCTCGTAAAATTCTTTGTGTTGTTGAGCACGACACTTTATTCTAATTTATACCTCTCCTCAATTAATTGCAATTAAATTTCTCAAAATAATATAAAATGTCAGACGAAAAAAGGAAAATATTTAAACCAATAAAGTATTATCAAACTTCCTTTACAGTAATATCATTTTTTTTTAGCTGAGGCAGAGCCTTGTTCAAACTATCAAATTTTTTTGACATGTGACATTCTTAAATATGTTCATGATGACATCACATCATGACCATATATAGGCACATCATGACTATATATGGGCAAAAACCCAGTTTTTGTTAATTGATAATCTCGACAGGGCTTTTAACATTAACAAGGCAGTAAGTTGATGGTGTATCTTACTCATATACTACCAACATCACTTCTGCTAACAGGGCATAGGCTGGGGGTGCTAAGGTGCTCATTGCATAAACATTTGAATTATTAAAATGAATTAACTATATCAGACTATTGATTATAGATACTTTATAAACTTGTTCTTTTAGGTCAGTGGTTACAAAGAGGTCATTTCACAGGCACCCCTTGTGTGTATAGATGGTAACATTCCAAGGGACACCATTCAATATGTGTGTGATGTATGTAATGATCATAATATACCAAGTAAATGAATCATTCCATTTTTAAATCATTATAGCTTACTTTCGTTTATTCTTTATTAATTTCACATACATAAAACAAAACGTTTTTTAAAAATAAGGGCTAGAATTAGTAGCAGTGCTTATTAACTGGCTGACTGTCATGAGAATGACATTTCCCATATGCTGCACAACAAGTTATCAAGGGTACCGCCAAGTTAAAAATATTCAGAGTTTCACAAAACAAAACACAAATCATCATTAATAATCTGCATTACTACAGCTCCATTTATGTGTTGAGTTGCAGTTCCTCTTCAGTTGTCTCTGTGTTGCACTTTTCTTTTATTCCTTTGTAACATGTGATGTTCAACATATTCACGAACATCTTTCTTTTTCTGTCTACTGTTCTCATTGCTTTATTCTCACTTCCTTCAGTTATCCATTGCCTCTCAGTACATGACCAATCCATCTCTTTCTTCTTTGTTCAATTGTATTAATTTTTTGTTCATTTTTCTCAATATCTCTGCATTGGTTTTTCTTTCCTCCCATGTCACACATATAAAACACAAAACATCTCAAATTTTAGATTATTACCTTTCTCGCTACGGCCTAAAAAATGTTTATATGACAGTATATGTGTTAATTATCTTTGGTGATCTAAATAGATTTTAACATGCATATAAATATATATAATCTTAATTGACAGAATTATAAATCAATTATATATAGGTAATTAATATGAAATGTAGCAAAATCAGTGTACAGCCATTTAAATTACTTTCTTTAATTTCGATAATTATAGTAAACAGTTGTTAAAAATTATTAAATTTATGTAGATATCAATATTAGGATTTTGCACTACAGTATAATTTAACTAAATTTTATGCTAGAATTTTTAAATTTATAAAAATTTTTAAGATTATATAGCACTTAATGCCAAAAAGGCCTGTAAGTGCTTTACATTATTATCATTGGATCAAGCACATATGCAACACATACTTAGCTTCCTGGGGAAAATTCCATAACATTGCAGCTGTAATCAGTGCATTTTGTGTTTGAACCTTCCAGGTACCCACTTGTATTCCTTAGTGGAGAGACACAACCATAGATAAAGTGCCTTTCCTAAGGACACAAGCAATATGCACAGCGAGGGATTGGACCTCCGACCTCAAGCTTGAGCAGCAGAACCGCAACCGCTGTGCCAAACCACTTCTACAATTTATAAGTTAAAAGCACGAACAAAATAACAATAAAATCTGTCAGAGATTGTTTTGAATTAAATAAATCATTACCATTAATTTAACACTTTCTTTAATCATATTTCTGTTTACCAATTAGTTTGGTATGAGCCTACCTGTGCACTGAAAGCTATAAAACCATTTGAAACAAACGCTGGAAAATTCCTCACCTATGTTAGTCCAAATCTCAGGGAACTACGTCAAATGTACGCTGCTGTTGAAGGACACCAGCCTCAATCTGTACATGGTGAGAGCTAATGGCAACCTTTTTTACCATTTTATTTCTCATACCGTAAAACCTTGAATTGAAGTCCAATAGGCTTAATCTCATCAAGAAGCCATCTTGAATTAAAGCCCACCTCTTCAGTTTGCAAAATTAGTCTCGAAAAGAAGCCCATCTCGAAATGAAACCTATGGGCTTTTTTCGAGATAGTACAGTACATACACTGTACATGAATTTCAAAGAAACAAAATAAATATAAACAAGCTTAGTTTATACAGTAGTTTAGGTGATTTAGTGCTAGTTACACTCCATGATACAGATTGTTGTTACAGTGGCCCTATTTATTGTTTTATAGTACTAATTCCCAAAATTTACAGCATTCATTTTAAAAAGAAGCCTAATCTTTAGTTTGCAAAAGTGGCCTCGAAAAGAAGGCCATCTCAAAAATAAGCCCATCCAAAGTTCACAAAAAAAAAGCAGTAGCCAAGGGCTTCAATTCAAGGTTTTACAGTACTACAATATGAATTTACAACAAAATATTTTTTGTGGAGTCAATCTCAACAAATATGTTTGGCTTCATTGAGGATGTAATACTTTTTTTAGTTTTTGCTCTCTCTTGCACAAGCACATTTGGCCGTCATTGACTGGTAAAACTTGCCAGTTGACTTCACTACCTAATGGTAGTGTTCTATGATTGTTATTAGAACTTGAAAGAAGAAAGATCACTATGGCTGTACAATTTTTATTTTTTATTGTCTCAGCCAAAAGCTAATAAGCTATATACTTTCACAACCCCTAAATTTGCTGGCAAGGATTTTCATAGTAGAAGGTCTCAGTACGCTACTTAAAATGGAATTTGTTTTGATTTGTATTGATTGATTGATAGATTGAATTGATTGAATTTCTTTGGTGTAAACAACAAGGATAGCCCACGAAAGTCTATAAGAAGACTTATTTCCAGTGGGGTCCTTCTAGTGATGGAGACAATCCCCTACTCTTTTCTGAAAAGTGTACTGTGTACTTTAATGTGTACATGGGCCATAAATGCTCACAGGACCAAGGGCTTAAATGTCTCATCCAGAAGACAGTGCTCTATTGTAATTTGTATTTCAGCCCTCCAGCTGAAACACAAGGAGAGGCAGCAATGGGAATTGAACTGGGGACCTAGAGGTCTCCATGGTTCGGTGCACACACAGTGGCTACCAACAGATTAGCCAACTGAGCTAAGCTGCTCTCATTGTTTTTTAGACAGGATGGGATGGTCTTATAAAAAAAAAACTCCTCGGTTAATTGTAACAAGTCAATTTGCAAGAAAATAAATCAGTCTCATTTCAGTCTGAGGAATATAAGAATAATTTTTAAAGAGAATATTGTTTCTAGTTTTGTTAGCCATCCTCTGCCTTGAGGACATCAGGCCATCATTGACTGATGTCTGTTTATACAGACAGAGACCAGCAAATTCTCTGCTGTAATGCTTTATACATACATAACCCAAGGCGGGACCCTTTCAGATACTCTTGTCCCAGGTCAAAAGGATCCTGGAGCTCATCATGGGCAGGGTCACTCACTTCCCTGATTGGATTATATAGTACCTAATGCCCAGCATATCCAATGTTTACCCCTGATAAAAAAAAAACCTTAATCATTACATGGGTTTGCACATAAAAAGCAGGTTCGAGTGAATTGGCTTGCCCCATAGAATAATAAGTGATAATAATGTTACATTTGTTAACATTCTAAAACTTTTCTTAGATGAAGACATGTCGTTGACTGACATTATTCGAGAGTGTCATCATCTTTGCAGCGTATTAATTAGTCATGGCCTTCATTGCATCATATTGACTCTCGGTCCAGATGGCATTCTTGTCTGTCGTAACACCGAACCGGAAGATATGTTTCCATGCAGTTATGTGACAAGGCGTGTAAGTTTTTTTCTGTTGATTTATATAAGATGTTGATTTATAAAATATATCATTGAAATATGAAGCAAAAATGATCATGTTCATTTAATCCTTTCATTACATGCAACTGTGTGCACTATGCTTTAAGATCATACATTTTTGTTGATTTTAATAAAAACTGAATGAAATTACAGGATTATGCATTTTCAGTTATCTGTTATTAATTGGATAATTTAGAATTTGGTGGCCATGCTACAATAAAGAGAAGGGCACAAGATCGCACTGTACGGCAGAAACTATGAACAACCAACTCATACAAAGGGCTGCTGCAATAAGTAGATTACCGATGATGATATTATCGTGTCCACTGAAATCTTCAACGTTTACAGATATGATCGGAGGGGCAGGCCCTAGAAAGGACCCACCCTGGTCTAGGTATGATGACAATGGTGATACAAACAAACTTTGTGTACCTTGTGGTGGTGGTAGAATTGGCGTTATTCAGGGCCGCCACGAGGACGCTTCTACCATGACCCCTGGTCATTAGGTCAAGGACATAACCTGAACTCAAAACTACTATAAATTGACTATCATTTCAGGATGAATCTGCAATGAGCATGGCATCTCTTCTACATTACCCAGCATGCAGTGAGGTGCACTTGCCTGGGGAGGTTGTCAGTGTTTCCGGTGCAGGAGATTGGTAAGATGTTAATCACTGGGGGAGAGGGGTGTCTGTCTTTCAAATTAGTTCCACTAAATATGTTAAAATAAAAAATAATTTTAATTCACAATCCCTATTTGGCTTTAATACTTGCAGCCTCGCTTCAGGTGTGATGGCAGGGATCCTTCAAGGCCATGAACCAGACATCTGCATCAAAGGGGGACTATTAGCAGCTAACCATTCCATAAGATCTCTGAAGACAGTTCCAGATTCAATACGTTCTCAAGATTTCTCGGTAGAATCTATCAAGAACTGGGCACCATGGACTCCAGCTTGCATTTTGTGATATATTGGTGGTGGGTGTTAGACCAGCAGTTGAGAACTATACGGAGAACTTATGCTGAAAAAATTTGGGTCCTGGATCAATTTTGATGGGTCAATTTATTATTATACAGTAACTGATCACAATACAAAGCTAGGTCTAAAAATAAAATTATTGCAATTCAATTGAAAATTCAACCTCCAATGTTCAGGGGTTTTTAAATGTGTATATGCATACAATATGTCCTTTAAATTGCTTTTCAGAGGTTTTTTCATTTGTACATTGACTTTATCTAAAATGACCACATACTGTAGAGTGGACCGGAACTTGGAGTTTAGTCAATCCCTATTTATATGCCGACTCCCAGTGATATGGGTGGTGTAATTTTTGCAGAAAATACAACAAAGTGTTTTTTCACTTTGTTGTACAACCCATGGCCTAGTTGCATTGTAATGATGGGCTTAACTTCAAGGCATTCTCTACTCCCAAAATTAGGCCACAAAATGCCTACTGTGTCATGGGTCAAAAACCTTCCCGACTGCTGCGCTAGGCAAATATCCCCTGAACAAGTACACATTCATATCAAATAATTGAAGCAGGAATTCCTCACCACTCAGTTCTTTATATATTGGTAGGAATGGAGCTGAAGTATTGTAGCTTGTTGGTGAGCTCTGGCTGGATGGACCACCCTCACAGCATATTGTTGGAATAAATACATTATTGTGACGCTTGCCATGCAAGCTTTTAATCCGAGAATTTTTTTTTTTTTCCATGACAAAATTCTCCATTTACATTAGAGTATTTATAGACATCAGAGAGGATTATGACAGCACCAGTCTTATAAACTACAGGGTAGAGCTCAGAAATATTTAATTGATGGTCAATGGACAACATATATTTTGTGTAACTTCTAATTTATTAATAAAAGTTACTTTCAAAGTTAATATTAATTGTTGGTCATAGCTTTCTGTTTCTGATTTATTATAACAATTCTTGACTGTAAAAATACCCACCCTCCCTCGGGGAAAATGTAAATTTATGATAATAATAGTATTAATATGTTAGACTTATATAGTGCTTAATGCCAACAAGGCCTTTAAGCGCTTCACATCAATTACCCCGGTCATTAGGTCAAGCAAATATGGGACACATACTCGGCTCCCTGGAGAGAATTCCATAATGTTGCAGCTGTAATCAGCGCATTTTGTGTTTGAACCTTCCAGGTACCCATTGACTGAGTATTTCCTAGAAAGGAAACACAAGCTAATGCCCTCACTGCTAACCTTTTCTTTTTGCCCTAGTCAAAATTAATCCAGTGGCTTAAAACTCATCACATTTTCCACAGATCAAATAATATTCACTAGAAATCTTTTCTTTTAAATTTTATTATATTTATGTCAAACTACAGGTATATAATCATTTATTAAAGTATTTTCCTTTTAAAAATAACATTCAAAACAAGAATTACAGTATTCATACTTTGAATGAATAGATAATATAGAAGAATATTTTCTTCTTTCAATTGTTTTAAAAAATATATATCATATAGTCACAATTACACAATAATAAAAATATCAACAGGATTTGAACCAAGACAAATTTGGTTTCCTGGAAATTGAAAACAAAGAGCAGTTTGAACCTGTGTTCATTCTAGTTAAAAGTTACAATACACTGAACATGCATAATTTTATCCCTTAGTTTAGTACTGGTACTGGTGGTGTAATATTTATATATTTCTTTTTTAAGTTTAGAATTTCATGTTACACTTCGTGTCAATTTCCTTATTCATCAATGTGCATTGCAAGGAGTTGCTTTTGCAAACGATCCGTAAGTGGTGAATTTTCTCGCAACGCTTTCCGCTCACTTAGGAGACTCCTGTAGAATTTAACAAGAAATGTATAATTGAGAAAATACACTTCAATTGTGTTCAAATAAAAATATTTTTAACACAATAAATATTAAATCACATCAATATGCTATTGGATGGAGTGGCAGGTCAAGGATTATTTGCCAGCATTGCACAAGCAGCAATCAAGCACCGAAAGAGGAAGGTTTTGGGCTGCTCCCTTACCTATTGTGGGGTCTAGGGGGTTCTTCCTCGGAAGCCTCGTCTATTGTGGGGTCCAGAGGGTTCTTCCCCTGGAAGCCTTGTGTATTGTGGGGTCCAGGTGGTTCTTCCTCTGGAAGCCTAGTCTATTGTGGGGTCCTGGGGTTTCTTCAACTGAAAGCCTCGTCTATTGTGGGGTCCAGGGGGTTCTTCCCCTGAAAGCCTCATCTAACCCCCCTGGAAGCCTGGTCTATTGTGGGGTCCAGGGGTTTCTTCCCCTGGAAACCTGGTCTATTGTGGGATCCAGGGGGTTCTTCCCCTGTCTTTAGCCATTTTAATATCTTACATAAAGGTCTGTCCACACTATAAAATTTAATGTGACGAATAAATATGATATGCCAATATTTGAGTGTAATATGACATCATCATGCCCATAATATGGACACATGAAACAAATTTGTCACAAAATTTAATAGTGTGGACACATCTTTAATGACATGACACTTTGTTAGTGATATTTGGCTGCTAATGGGGTGGGCGGGCAAACACCACTTTTGCCACTGGAATTAAAGAAAGTATGACGATGAGGAGTGAAGATGACACCTCCACTTCTATTCTTACCTGGCCAGTCGTTTATGGTGCTTCTTCGGAGAATTGATAGCAGCGTGTATTAGGAGCTGTTGAAACTCATCTCTCTGTTAAAAAATACCATTTAAATTATTAATTTAAATATAATTTTTATATCATTTTTTGTGTATTGTTTTGTGATTAAACATTGAACATTTAATTAATTTATAAATATTATAATTTTTCGAAATATTTGCAGACAAGCTCATATTGACAACTCAAATTGTTAATCATTGCAGAAGCTTTGATTAACAGAATGCCCTGTTGCTGGAAATGTGTTTAATTTTACCAACCCAAAAGTATCTTGATCTTATCTAGATTTTATGAAAACATTTGTACAATATACAGTACCTGTGCATTGCTTCCTCCCATGTTCACAAACTTGTATCGCACCGGATTCAGTAGATCAACAGCCTCAGCATAATCACCATTCTCATAGGCAACGAGTGCTTCACACACAGGCAAGCCGACCTCCTTCATCACGTCACGCTGGTCCCCACAACGCTCCCTGTGAACAACAAGTATTGATCAAAGAAAATAATAAGTAGCCTAGCTATTTCAGATGAACTGGCGATAACCATATTGGTCGTTTTAACAGGAATATTTTCATCGCTGCTTCTATGATGGACTGTCTCTTAGGAAGCAGGGGATTGTCTTATGGTATATAGTGTATAGACCAATGAACACCAACACTGTATTATTTTTTCACACAGAGACTTCGAGTAGCCAAGCGGTAAGGCAAGAGTCTCTTACAATCGGCAATGGTTCAAAAGCAAAAGTTTTGGATAAGGACTCAAACCTGGAGGTCCAGTGTACATCTGACAGGTTTGGCATTGCATATATTGGATGAGTAGGGGTCATCCGATGCCTTGGTTCATTTCTGCCTGTTGTTGAACCATGTAAACATAATACTACTAAGCAGTAAACATAATGCTACTAAGCACTGCTCTATGGCCCTCACAGACCATGCTCTTACTCAATTCAGCATAATGAGGCTGCAAGTTATACTGTAGCTCATTTTAAAACCTTTTACTTGAGCAACTCGTTTTCACTTTTTTTTTTAAATTTCAGGTATGGACGTAGATGGATTAAAAGGGTGGGGGTGGGGGGGCCCATCAGCTTATCTGTACAACTTTTCTTTCTGGACCCAATTTTATAAATCTGCCGCTGATACAAGTAATACTGTAACTGCTTACCTTATGAACTGACGGATTGATTCTATCTGGGTTTTAGCGGTATCTTTATGATCGGCCCGCAGTGACGCCATTACATAGTGCAAGTCTTTGTAGACCAGAAGGTGGTTGAAATGGGCTGGTTCTCCAGTTTCGTACAGCACCTGCCATCTTTCTTTTCCTACTTTCACACCTGTTTTTACGAAAATCAAGTTATAGTTCCTCAATATTTCAACCAAGTTTGGATAATCACAATAAAATTCAACTATTCTAATCCACTATTTTATAGGTTACCACAAAAAAACTTATGAATGCCAAAATTATTAAATGAACCCAAAGCAGTAGCTTTAAAATTCTAAGAACTTTGTTCTCTCTATATTGTTCTCTCTTTGTTCACTACCAAATCTGCATTTCCCTCTTCTTCCCCATCAATCTCCTTTCACTTCTCTTCACACCCATTCCAAAATTTCCTTCCACTTTTCTCATCCTCAAAAATTCTATCTTTATCTTCTTTCTCTGTTTATCCCTCATTTTTTATTTATCTTATTATCCAACTAAAATACTTTTGTACACAGCATTTGTATGCGTTCCCTTGATTGAAATCCCATGTGCTTAAATCTATTTCCATACCCCAAATTTCTTTTCCCCTACACATAATATATTTCCCTTCTCTTCTTCTTTACACCAACATATTTTCCACCTTTCTTCCACCAAACCTAAAAATCTGTTCCTCTTCTCTTTCTGTCCACCCTAAACCACATACCCCTCACCTTCAAATTCCAGTCTATAGAGAAATGATGCTGCATGAATTGTATAATTGGAAGCTACGCATCTTGGAAGTATCTTGTAAGAGACAAAAAAATATAATAAAAAATGATTTCTAAATTAATAAACATACAGAAATCAGCAATGACCTTTAAATCATAATTTTCATGGAGGTCCAATAGGAGCATAGTACAGTATGCGAATAATTAAAGTTCATGAAATCAAAGGGAAAAATATTTTAATGTGTTGACACAATCATTATTTGTTATCACATAAGAGACCCTATAATTTGATATTTTATGAAAAACTTGATATCGACATTTTTATAATGTCATTTAAAAATTAATACTACTGTATTGTAAGTACAAATTTAATATTGAGTTTATAATTACTGTTTATTTAGTCTTAACATGCACTATTGAAAAATATTCAATTTTTTAAACAGTTTTCTCTAGATTATATAATTGAAAATCTATTAAAGTAATAAGTTACCTATTACTTCATAGTATAACTTACCTCTGAATCGTATATATCTAAAGCCTTTGAGTATTCTCCTATCTCGATGTAGTACAGGCCAAAATGCCAGTAAATGTGATCAGCTAATATGTCACAAATCTATAAATTCAACAAAAACCAACATAACCAGGGAGTGGCATCAGTAGGATTGGGGTTGACAGGGCCCCCTGTCAAGGAGATCTGACCCCAATTGGGAAGAAAAAAATATGTATTTCTTACATATTAGTAGATTCTAAAATGGCATAAATACTTCTTTGAAACCCCTAAATTGTCATAGTTAACACATTTTTAGAAATTCATATTTAAATACTATATTATAACCAGCATACATGGCTCAAATTTTACAATAACACCCTCAGATAACCCTGTTTTGCAGTGATTGGCTTTATGGCTCTTTGCATATGATTAAACATAAATGTAAAGTTTCAAAATATATTTCAAGTAGGTGTGTCTGTCTACCACTCAATACTTTAAAGTAATAGTAATCAGTGGTTGTCATCAGTGATCAGCACATGAAGTAATCAGAACCAGATTTCAGGGTCGAATTTACATGACCTTTCCATTCTTCAGCATAGTGTCTATTACCTCTTAAGAGGGCGATAGACAGAAAGCTGTGCAATGATATTTAATTACAGTATGCAATGAAATTAAACAATATCACTAACCTTCCAGTCGTTTTCAGTAGTGGTCATAAATTTAATGCCCTGGTCATGTCTACCAGTCATCTCAAGACAATGGGCATTGGCATGTGTTGACCAGCAGTCATTTGGATTAATGGCCAATCCCTGGAAGATTAGAATACGAGCCATGAAATCACAAAAGCTTAGGCTGAAATAACAAGCAGTGTTATTTCTTGTCCACTCTTCTATGTTTAATCGCGCTGCGTCTTTACCCTAATTTCCCAAGCCAAACACCCTCCTCCTGCAGAAAAAAAAATCCTTTTAATAACCATGAGTGCCTAGGCATCATTGCAGCATAATTTATTCAAGATATATACTGGCCTCAATTTATACTTTGACTAAAGACATGTTGCTCTTATATCTGTTTTTGTTGCAAGGTATTTTTTTATATCTTTAAGTACAGTAATGGACTTCTTTTAGTCTTTCCTTATGTCAATGGAATTAGTATGGAATTGTAAGGATTATTTTTGCAGCTGAGGCTTGGACGTTGTCTTCTAATCCATAAAAAATGTCAGAATTTGATTTTACAACCTGAAAAAACAATCTCCATGACTAAGGCTTGGCAATAAAGCATCAAGGTGCTTCAAAATCAGCTTTTGATATAATAAATATTGATTGATTGTTTTTATAAGATAGGAGTTAGAAAAATCAAGTTTTAACAGGGCGAGGAAAAGACTAGACCATACTCAGCTATTTACGTATCACAAACCTTAGCTGCTGCTTTTTCACCTTCAACATACATTCCACTTTCTTCTAAGCCAAACGCATGCATCCCATAGAGGTAACTAAAAGCAATAGTGTAAATAAACAAAATTATGCTTCTAAGGTGCTCTAATATAGAGTAGTAATACAATCACATGTTTTTATCTCTAGTAGAAAATGGTAAATATTGTTCCTCAAACAAAGTATTAGTGGAAATCAAACAGTGCTTGTGAATAAGTAGAGCATAGCTTGGATGTTAGGTGTGTATGATGGGCCTCCTTCAATCTGACTATAGACATGTTGCTTTTAAAATTGGACTTTGTTACATGTAAAAAAAGACCAATTTTTATATTCTTTTATTCCTTTATGTCAATGGAATTAGTATGGAATTCTATAGACAATCAGAATACCATCTTCCAATCCTTGCATTCTGGATCAAAATTCTGTAAAATCCAGGGTTGTTTCTAGTTGCAAGACGAATAATCCTGGATTTTACAGGATTTTGTAACAGCCCACTCCCTATTAAGCCCCATCATGAGATTTAGTTTATAAAGCATCATTCCCATCTTGTATATGACAAGTCTATCAATTGTTAAATGAATTTTATTGGCAGTTTATTAGGACAAATAAAAAATAATAAACATATGTACATTATAGTAAGATGATTCAAATATAAAAAGCATGTCTGCCATCTGAGCTTTGTAAAAGAGAAAGAGGTTCATTTTTTATATCTCCATAAAAATATCCATCATGTACCATACAACCTTGAATTGAAGCCCAATGGGCTTAATCTAAAGAATAAGCCTCCTCTTTAGCTTGCAAAATTAGCTTCAAAACAAGCCCATGGGCTTCTTTTCAAGATAGCATGCTTCTTTTCGAGATAGTACAGTAGGCCTACATGCACTGTACATGAATTTCAAAAAAACAAAATATATAAAAAACATGCCTGGTTTATACAGTAGTTTAAGTGATTTACTGTAATTGATGTTCTATAGTGCAAATTCTCAAAACTTACAGCTTTCATTTTGAAAAGAAGCCCCCCCACTTTACTTTGCAAAAGTAGGCTCGAAAAGAAGCCTATCCAAAGTTCACATAAAAAAGAAACCCTGGGCTTAAATTCAAGGTTTTACAGTGTATACAAGGCCCTTTAGGTCTAGGCCTTTGGTTGTGAATGAAATCTTCAAATACTTCATTCACCAGAAGGAGTGTACTGTGTATATGAAAGCTTGTGATAATAAAATCTTATTCTAGTCTGAAAGTGCTACTTTTTGCTTCCTTAATGTGTTATACATTATACATTGGCTCACTCATATCATAATTATTATTCAACATATTATACTTAATAATTACCCATAGAGCGGAGTACTGCTTTTCCAATGTGGAAACACTCTTGCTACAGAGTCTCTCATTGGAATACTCTGTCCTAAGTTGTAATAGTTGAGCTGGCAAAACTTGAGGGCAAGAAGATCAGTTGGATGGTCAACTAATATATCCTCCCAAATATCAATAGCCTTGGACATAGACCTATCAAAAAATACAAATAAACATTAAACTTATTATCATAATATTAAAATGAAATTGCTAAAGTAAATTATCATATGCAGAAAAGCGAACAATAAGACATTCTATTTGCGGTAAAAAATATGAGAAATCTTCAAAAAATCCAATTTCTTAACAATCTTAATTTCTGACGTCTTTTCATTTCATAAATCTTTTCTTTCTTAAACTCTTTTTCTTTCCTGAAAATCAAGGAACAAGGTATTAACATGCAAGTCAGAAACAAGGCAACTCTTATATAATACTTACCCATCTGCGTACACCTGAAGTGCCTCCACATGCTTTTCTTCCCGGTTGGTCAGTGCAGAGTTTGCCTTCAAACTCACCATATCATCTATTCTTTTTTTGAGGTGTTCGTCTGTTTGGATATTCACTGAGGTCGAACACAAGGTCAGACCATTAGTTAGCACATGACCCATTACTAAATTAACATAAATTGATATAATATAAATATGGTACTTAACAATTATGACATTATATTTGAACACATGTACCGGTATGTAAATACTTAAGTAGTGATATGAAAATGTTGGAGTCTCACCAAAATCTGGATCTGCTTCTCTTAGTCTGGTAAAGGTTTTATCCCATCCACCCAAACTCTTGTCATGGTACCACCCAACAATCTGCATTATATTAATTTTATTAATGTAACTGACAGACACACAGTATTTACTTAGGTGATGTACTGGATGCAGGACTAAAGTCCTCTATATCCAGATCCAATTCTGGAATTTTATATTTTCTCCTAAAGTAGAAGCAATTTAGTAAAAAGTGAGACATGGCCACCACCTAACAGTGGCATATCCAGGAGTACGAGGGAGTCCACCCCCCAAAAAGCTCACGCCCCGCCCCCAGTCACCCTTCCCATTGAAAAAAATCAAAGCAAAAAAGTCACGCTCAAATAGTTAAAAATCACCTTATATCATCATATTTTGTGAGTCCACTTCACCTTGCTGCTATACTGTAATTAGTTTTGATAAGACTAACATCATCTTACCTGTGTGAGGGCAGCATCATAGAGTTTGCATGCCTCATTACTGGTAGTAGAAAATTCAAGTCCTTCGTCTTTCCATGCCTAAATGAAGATACCACAAAGTACAATTAAAATTTGATGTGACATTAAGAAAAGATCTTTATCAATGATTGAATAACTGTACCGCCAATAAAATTTAGTATAATGGTAGTCAAAGGCAAATAAAACCTCTGCATGTGTGGGTATTTGGATATGATTTGAATACACTCAAGATAAGTCAGCCAAACAAAGAAATAAACCTATCTTCACAAATTCAGAATGAATGTTTGGATATTTTTACTAACTGTGTTATAACGGTAGTCTCCCTGGCCATTAGTATTATCATCCACAGCTCAGAAGTTGCATCTCCCAAATTGGGACATACCCCCGCCCCCACCAAAAGACAGGTTCTCTCCTTTGTTGTAAGCAAATAAACAACATTTAATAGTCCCCAACACCGAGTTAAAGTATTTTTAGTTAATTAAAGTATTCTTTAACTCTAAGCATAAAAATATCTGTGTTCAAATGGACTCCACTATGATGTTATACTGATAGTATTATTACTACTCAATTTACCAGACAATCCCTCCAGTGGCAGTGTTTGGCCATTCTTCACAGAATCAGATTTAAACTGAAAAAAATCCATTGAAAGTGAAACATGCATATGTGCAATTTTTGTTAAGTTTGATATTTGATTTATATAGCTCCTTTCCTTTATGTTACAAAGCGCTTTGTTTTCTCTGGTCATTGGGTCCAAATGCCATATTGGCACAGTAGTAGGCAACCCCACCAGGTACCCATTTACTGTATACTCCTGGGTGGAGAAAAGCAATACAGATAAAGTTCCTTGCTCAAGGACATACTGTAAGCAAAATGCACATTGATGGATTGAAACCCCGACCTTGTTTGTTGTCCTGGTACAGCCATCATACTGTAGATCTAGTCTATGCCTACAGTACATGCAAGCAATGCAGACTTCTGAAGTACTACGGAATTTCTGTAGTTGCTTTGGAAATTTTGTCTAATTACGGACGTACAGAAATTGACAAAAATACTACGAAAATTTACCATAGGCCTAGGCCTAGAACAAATTACTTTTCCATCCGGATCTTTGGTTAAATTTATTTATTTTAGGCCCTAGCCTAGGACTAGATACAAATAAATTAAAATTATTTTGAAAACTTTAAACTAAAAAAAAATGACACATAAATCTTTATCCTGTTCAATTAGGTGGGATGGCTATTCAAGTAGGTCCCTAATCTAAGTAGCATTTTTTTTATTAGATTAGCCTCCTAGGCCCTAGGCCTAGCTAGAGGGTTAGGCCTACAGTACTAGGGCTAGGCTAGGCCTAGGACAGGTTGGCTAGACCCAGCCTACGGTCCTACCTTAATAAATAGTCTTAGTAGGCTAGGCCTAACTAACTAAGGTCCAGGCCCTCCCAGCTAGGGCTAGATTTGTAAAGAACTGAAACTAGACCCTAAAATAACAGCAAATTCCTCTTTACATGATGTTTTTTTTTTATTTCTGCATTCCTGTTACGCACATAGGCCTAATAAATTTCCCTGCGCCTTCCTAGTATCTTTGCTAGCTCTCTATATGCGCACAAAATATAAACAACCTGCAGCGGATGTGTACAATAATTTTACTGACGTTTGGTGGCGCTAGGCTAAGTTACGACCGACGAAACCAACACCCGGTTTTTTGGGTTGGCCTGCTGTAGTTATAATCATATATATATATCATATAATCATGGTGGAGGTATGGTTATCCTATTTTTCAAAAGCATACGCTTTATTTTAATTAGGACCTAGGCTAGGCCGTCTTCATTCCCAAATGTAGTCTAGGCCGCCTCTACTCTACTCTACTGTAGATAGGCCTAGGGTAATCTAGCTAAACTAAGAAGGCCTAGGGGGTAGGGGCCTAGGCTAGGGCCTACCTAGCCTAGCCTAGGCCTAGGTAAGGCCTACTGTATAGGGGTCCAGGAAGGAGGCCTAGGCCCTATGCCTACCTCTAGGTTACTAGGCCCCGTTCCGCAACTCTTTTTTTTTATCCCGCTACACAAATTAAAATACTGAAAACTCAGCTGCAACCCATTTATTTCAAGCCCTAGGCCCTACAGTAGGCCGGGCATCTAGCTAGGCCTAGGCTAGCTAGAAACATAAAAATTAGAAATCTCACTTTATTTTTAAAAAGAAAGACATAACTAAATGAAGCATTTTAAAACAAAAATATGTAAATCGGACCAGTATTAGCGGAGATATTACAATATTAATTACGTTTTTTGCTGGTGTTAATTTTATTATACAAGAAACATGTCCCTTACAGTATAATTATGTGTTTAAAAAGAAGCTTTTTAACTCTGATTATTTATCTAAAACAATACTAACGATTATAATTTGTTATATAATTATTTTAGATTTCATAATTATTATCAACTGATAGATTCTACGTAAAATATATTGCATTGAAATCTCCTAAATCTTGGCCTAATTATAGGGCTCAGACACCACTGTAGCCAGCGGGAAAAACATGGTTTATCCTGCGTGCAGCCGCGATAAAATTCGCGAGGGCGCCCTCAACCTGTACGAGCGAAGCCTAGCTCCAGTACAATAGAATACATGATAATTTGGACCATATATTTTAATTAGGTGCTACAAATATATTATTTTTAACTTGCCTAACTTTATATATTAGAACCTGAATAAAACAAACATGTTAACTAAAAAACTAGCCAAGGTTTCCTTTTATTTTTAAAAAACGACGAAACATTTGTTGTAAACAAAAAACTTCTACAGAATCGAATCACACGCTTGAAAAACCCAATGATGTTATTTTAAAGGGGCTTTGTTAACACCAAAAAGTTATTTTGACCATCTTTAGATTCAGAGCAACTGCCTTGGGAATTAAAATTAAATGACAAGTGATACTGTACACCAAAAATAATAATCATCAAATTTTAATACATAGACCTAGTGCAATGGTTGAATTTTTTTTTTCATAAATCTAACTTTGAAGCAGCGATAATACAATCCTCCGATGCATGAAGAAGAAAAATGCTCATTGCCATATGATCTAGACCCTATTCGGAACTACCATAATTAGCTATCGTCTAATTGCTGTAGGCCTACTGTAATCCGAATTGCTAGCATCAATTGCTTGGCAACCATACCTGCCTTCTTGGCTTGCTTGCATCATGCAGGGT